TCCACATGCTAAATCCCAGATGCATATTTGCGTATGAAAGAAATAGCCAGAGTGCCTGCCCTCAAGGTGCTTACCAACTATCTGGGAGACATACAGTATAGAGACAAAATGTTGTTGCTGGAGTAGTAGCCAAACTGTATTGAGGGAGGTGTGTGGAGGACAGGAGGCAGTGTTTGTATGGGGTTGGAAAAACATCATGGATCGGTTTGCACGTGCTTCCTGGAGGAGGAGACCTGGTGAGAGCAGGGGCATTCTGGGTGGAGAAAGTGCCATGAGAAAGGGCTGCTGCAAATGAAACTTCTGCCGTTCACTCTTTTGAGATGGCCACTAGTAGAGTGTGTGATTGGAATGGGCGCTAAGGGCGGGCCACTCGTCTGATCACTTTTCTCTGTTCCTTCCTGAATCTCCAGGACACTGTACTCAGCCTTCTGCATGGAGCTGGCCTCCCGTGGCTTTGTGGTTGCTGTACCAGAGCACAGGTGAGGGATGACAGTCACAGTGAACTGTCACGGATTGGGTGTCTGCATCGGGTGCGGATATAGGCTAGTCCCCTATGGATACATTATTTCCAATCCTCACAACATGCAAGGCAGGTATGACACCCATTTTAAAGGTGAGGAAGTCAGGGTTAAAAGATGTCAAATAACTTGCTGATAGTGACACAGCTGCGTTGGGATTCAAACCCAGGTCAGTCTCCCAAATCCACATTTTTTCCTATTCTTCTGTGCATGCCCCCCAGGTCTTTTTCCCTATTAGCCAAAGGAGATCCAGAGTGTCTTGGCTGAAAAGGAGGATTTGGTAAAGGGGAGAAATAAACCCACGAGTGTCTTCTGGTCTCTCTGGTGGCGTGTGTATTTCAGGGATGGGTCAGCTGCGACCACCTGTTTCTGCAAGCAGGCTCCAGAGGATAACCAGCCCGCTGATGAGTCTCTGGAGGAGGAATGGATCCCCTACCGGCGAGTTGCAGAAGGGGAGAAGGAATTCCATGTTCGGAATTGCCAGGTAGGCTTGTGTCAGCTGGGTAGAGATAGTTATTATAATAAGCCTGTCCTTCCTATACTACATACACTAAGAAGTCTTATCTAATTTCTCTTGAAATCTCAATCATAGGGAGCCTGAGCTTGCCACAGTAGTAGGGAGAAATAAGGTATTAATCAAGAGTCTTATAAATGCAAGTGACAGAAACCCAGCTTAAGCTTGTTAGGCCAAAAGGAGAATTAATTGGCTTATGTAAGCTGACAGCAGAAAAGGCAAGACATTGGAACCAGACTCAAATGCCGACAGGATTTGTTTTTCATTCTCATCTCTGTTTTCTCTGCTGATTGGTCTCATCTGCAGGCTGGCTTACTTTATGAGGTTAAAACCACAACTCTTGACAGTTCTGAGCTTGCATGTTTGATCTCGCCATCTGAGAGAATAGAACTGTTTTGGGGTTGCTCCCCTAGGCCCCCACCCCTGCCCCAAGCTGCAATATGGAAAATCCTGGAGCGAGACTTCCTAGGCTGGGGAGAAGTACCAAAATGGGAAGTTTCCACCAGAAGTGCATTGTTAGATTTTTTTTTTTTCAGGGTGGAGGGCAATCCTCAAAGGCAGGGTTAACAGGAAAAGTGGGGTGGGTCAGTGCTAGGCATACAAAAACAATAGATGCATGCTATAAAAGGGCAAGTAGAATCCAGTGCTAGATTGATAAGATCACCCTTATTTCCTTTTGTTTTCAAAACACTTTCCTGTACTTTGTCTTTTTTTTTTTTTTTTAAGATTTTTATTGGGGAATTGGGGGAGGGAAACAGCGCTGGGGAATCGGGGAAGGGGAACAGACAAGTTGCTGTCGTTTTTTTGTTCTTCAGTCTAGTTGTGGAGGACGTTGCTTCACTGGCCCAAGTTGGCACCCTCATTGNAGGGCAGAGAAACAGACATTTCCATCTGCCAGCTGTCTTACCTACCATCTGCTTCATTCCACAGCATTGGGTCCACCTTCTCTCAAAGGTCTTTCCCAAGCTCCTTCACCTGGTGGAGCCTTTCATTTTAAGCACATCCTTCAGCGTGTCCTTTGCTTCTCATGTTCCAGCATATATATAAAAAAACACTTGCAGCTTTCTTCCTGTATAGTAGTCCAGAAGTATTAGAAGGAGCTTGAGCTTTATAATCAGTCATTGACTCACACATGTTGAAGGATAACTCTGCCTGTGGCACTGACGTAGCAGTGAATGAGAGACTCACTCCCTGCCCTGGTGGAGCTTGAAGCCTCACCTGTCAATCTCAGCTATACCACCTGAGCTCTGGGTGAGCTTGGGGCTGTTGTAGAACCTCTGAGCCTAGATTTCATCACCTGTCAAATGGGGATGCTGCTCCCACAGGATGGTTTGTGAGGATAAACTGGCATCTAGTAGGTGTACACACATGCAGCTCTCTTCATTTCTACATGGAGGAACGCAGGATGGTGAACTGCAAGATTTCTTACCAGACTTCAGGAGACTGGCCTAAGTTTTGTAAATCAGTATCCAGTCAGAATTCTTCCCATGAATTCTGATTTCTGCACCTTAATACCCGTAGAATGTATGTTCCTATTTGAACTTGTGAACGTTCTCTATGTTCATCCATCAATGTGTAAGTCTAGTTTATGTCCCAGAGTGTCTCACATCTCAAAGGCATCTGTTTTTGCCTTCCCACACCCCAAACTATTGTATACACTGTAGCCAGGGAGATCTATTTTAAAACCAAATATCTTGTCATTCCAGCATCTAGAACAGTACCTGGCAGATAGGAGATGCTCAATAAATATTTGTTGAATGAATGAATGTCACTTCCCTACTTAAATCTTTTTAATAGCCCTTTGAACTTAATTCAGCTCTTTTCATGGTCTTACCTGGAGGCAAATCCAAGACAAAGTTTCCAGCCTCGTTTCTTGCTGCTTGCCCCACTCCAGCTCTCCAGACAAACTGCCCTTCTTTCAATTCCCTAAGCTACTGTTATTTTCTGCCTCAGGGTTTTTCATCTGTGCTCTGCTTTATGGCTGTTTCTTTGCCTGGGATATTGGCTCTTCTGCTTCTCTCTTTCTCTTCCCCCTCTCCCTCTTTTGCGTAGCTAATTCCAAATTACCTTCAAGGTCTCAGTTTGGATGTCACTTTCTTAGGGACACCCATCCTGACCCCTACATTATAGGTTAAGTTTTCTAGTAATGTGCTTTCATAAGACATTCTGTACTTCCCAGTACTTAACGTAATTGTAATGAATTAACTATTTGTGTGGTTATTCTTTAATGTCTGTCTTGCCTACTAAATTGTAAGCTCCATTAAGGCAGAGACCATGTCTGTCTTCTATCTCTCTCAGTGCCTAG